TTTTTTTTTTTTTTTTTTTTTGAGACAGAGTCTGGCTCTGTCGCCCGGGCTGGAGTGCAGTGGCCGGATCTCAGCTCACTGCAAGCTCCGCCCCCCGGGTTTACTCCATTCTCCTGCCTCACTCCCGATAGCTGGACTACAGGCGGCCGCCGCCGCTCCGGCTAGTTTTTTGTATTTTTTAAGTAGGAGACGGGTTTCACCGTGTTCGCCAGGATGGTCCGATTTCCTGACCTCGTGATCCGCCGTCTCGGCCTCCCAAAGTGGCTGGGATTACAGGCTTGAGCCACCGCGCCCAGCCAGAGGAGTTTTTGAATTATTTTTATTGCTTGAACCTGCATTAAACATTCACATTTTAAAATTTAGTGATCCTCGGACCATAAGATCTGAAAAGGATGAAACTGCCCCTCATCTTTTAGTAAACTGACCAATTGACCTGATATTATGTATAGTAATTAGTCTGAAACAATCACACCACCTGGTGCTTCTCTTCAAATATCGACATTTCCTTGATAGAGACGGTATTAGGATACTATTGTATCAAATTAGGAGATGTAATCACCAATAAAGATTAGCTAAGTTTCTCTTGGCTATTTATGGCTTTGTTAATTATACATTTGTCTCAACACTTTTATTCTTTTAAAAATTTTTTTAAAAATATGGAACGCTTCAATTTGCATGTCATTCTTGTGCAGAGGCCATGCTAATCTTCCTTGTATTCTTCAGTTTTAGTATATGTGCTGCTGAAACAAGCTCTCAACACTTTTTAAAAAAACCTTGAGTATTATGTGTTGATAACTATTCTATTTTGTGTGTGTTGGCTCATTAAATCTCCTTATTCAATGTCTCAACACTTTATCCATTTATTAGCAAAAAGATCTTGCTCTGTTGCCCTAGCTAGATCATAGTGGCTTGATCATATCACAGCAGCCTCGAACTCCTGGGCTCAAGCGATCCTTCTGCCTCAGCCTCCTAAGTAGCCGGGACCACAGGTGTGTCTCACCAGGCCAGGCTAACTACAAAAAACTTTTCTTTTTGTAGACAGGGGGTCTCATTATATTGCCCAGCTGGTCTTGAACTGCTGCCCTCAATTGATCCTTCTGACTCAATCCAAAGTGCTAGGATTACAGGAATGAGCCATTGCTCTGGCCTTTGTTTTGTTTTCAATGCCTGTAGGGAATTAGTCAGTTCTTTACTAACAAAGCAAAGCATTATATGGTCAAATTTTGAAAAATAAGATTTTTTTTAATCAAAATGCCTAATGGGTCTTTTTTAGTCTTTGTCACGCTGTCATTTCCACAGTGACTTATAATTAGGTGCTTAATATAGATTCTGAAAGGCTGTCAATACATGTAAATTTGTATATAGTATTTCAGTTTACAAAGTATCCGGATATATATCTCATTTATCTGGTTCAGAATATGTAGTTTGAATACAAAATTATATTACAGCACATTTTTCCTTTCAGTTCTATTTTATTTTATTTATTTTTTTGAGACAGAGTCTTGCTCTGACGCCTAGGCTGGAGTGCAGTGGGGCAATCTCAGCTCACTGCAACCTTCACCTCCCAGGTTCAAGAGATTCTCCTGCCTCGGCCTCCAGAGAAGCTGGGATTACAGGCACCTGCCACCACACCCAGCTAATTTTTGCATTTTTAGTAGAGACAGGGTTTTACCACGTTGCCCGAGCTGGTCTTGAACCCCTGACATCAGGTGATCCACCCACCTCGGCTCCTAAAGGGCTGAGATTACAGGCATGAGCCACCGTGCCCGGCCTTAGTTCTCTTTTAAAGGGAATCTCTATTTTCAAGAATTACATACATCTTACTCAAACATAAATCTGACATCAACGTAAGTTTGAAGTAGTAATGGCCAAGATCTTTCAAGTAGGAGCAAACTAATCTTGTTTAAGAGGAGGTATTATAGAATCATAAGCACAGAGGTCCAATAATTAGACCACACAATGCTTACAAAGGATAGGCTTAGAAAGGTTTGGGTGTTTAGGTAAAGAGCTCTTCTCCCCTTCTCAAACCATTAACAAAAATAAAAATAAACAAACTTTTCCTTGCAGGAAAATTTCCGTGAACCTGTGGTTTTGGGGGCAAGGGTGAGAGCAACAGGCAAACCTAGTTCAGAACCTAGACAACTAGAGGGGTCTGCAAACAAGTCAAAACCAAAATAGGCACGGTTGGTGAGCATGTACATTGGTACAGCCATTATGGGAGGCAGTATGGAGGCTCCTCAAAAAATTAAAAATAGAACTACAGTGTAAACCATATAGTATATACAATATACATCATATATGTATATATACCATATATACATATATACCATATATTCTGGGTATATATCCAAATAAAATGAAATCACTATGTCAAAGAGATATCTGCATCACCATGCTCATTGCAGCATTATTCATAATAGCCAAAGTGTGGACTCACCTAAGAGTGAACTAATGGACAAAGAAAATGTGAAATATAGGAATGTGGTATATATATGTATATTTATATACATAATGAATACTATGCAGCCTTTAAAAAGAAGAAAATCCTGTCATTTGTGATAACATGGATGAATTTATGCTAAGGGAAGTAAGCCAGGCACAGAAACACAAATACTTCATGATCCCACTTATATGTAGAGTCAAAAAAAGTGGAACTCATAGAATTAGAAAGCAGAACAGTGGCAGGACCTCGGCTCATGACAACCTCTGCCTTCCAGGCTCAAGTGATCCTCCCATCTCAGCGTCTCAAGTAGCTGGGACTACAGGTGCCACTGTGCCTGGCTAATTTTTTTATTTTTTTGCAGAGATGGGGTCTCACTATGTTGCCCAGGCTGGACTCCAACTCCTGGTCTCAAGGGATCTGCCCACCTCGGCCTCCCAAAGTGCTGGGATTACAGGCCTGAGCCACGACACCTGGCCAACCTTAAATATTCTTAGCACAAAATAAACATATACACACACGCACACACAACTACGTGAGGTGGGATATGTTAATTTAGTTTCATTGTGATAATCATTTCACAACATTATACATCTATGAAAACATCACATGGTACACTGTAAATACATACAATTTTTATTTAAAGCTAGAAGAATTCTTTAAAAATAAACTAAAAAGGCAGTCCATAAGCTTCTGTTGAATGGATGAAAATCTGTACTATAAATAAAAACATAATATGCAAAGGTATTAATAAGATTTGGAAGAAAACCTAAGAGAGCATTAACAGTAGTGACTACTGGGGATCACCGAGATACAGGGTATTAGGGATGGAAGGTTTTCTTTCTTTTTTTTTTTTTTTGAGACGGAGTGTCTCTCTGTCGCCCAGGCTGGAGTGCAGTGGCACGATCTCGACTCATTGCAACCTCTGCCTCCTGGGTTCAAGCGATTCTCCTGCCTCAGCCTCCCGAGCAGCTGGGACTACAGGCGCCCACCACCACGCCTGGCTAATTTTTTGTATTAAGAGACGGGGTTTCACCGTGTTAGCCAGGATGGTCTCGATCTCCTGACCTCGTGATCCGCCCGCCTCGGCCTCCCATAGTGCTGGGATTACCGGCGTGAGCCACCGCGCCCTGCCGTAAGGTTTGCTTTTCAATGGATCTTTGGGAAGTTTTAAAACATACATGCTCAACCTTTAGAAATTACTCTAGGGGAAATTCCTTCTCCACATCCTCTAGGTGTGCTTCCTTCCTCCTCTCAACACACTTCACTATCAAAACCTACATTACTTCCAACAATCGACCCTCGAGGGAATAAGTCCCTGGTCCCCACGATCGTGACCAGCCAGTCCACACTGCCGACCCCAGAAATGCAGTCTCAAGTGCTCGGTCAGCGAGAAGAAAGGCGGGCGAGGTCCTTGTCCTGCAGGCCACAGAGAAGACAAAAACCTCCAGTTACTGGCCTCAGGTGTAAGGCTGCTCCGCATTGGCAGTGCGGGACCATTCCTATCATTATTACGTAGTCTTGTTTCCTTCTGGGAGAAAGAACCTGGGGAGAGTTGGACTGGCTCCTCCGGGCGGTCCGGGACGCGCGTCCTCTGTAACGCCGCAGCCTGCGCCAGCGTCCGACAGGGACGTCTCATCGAGGCCCGACTCGCATTTTTAGTTGTCAGATTCGCCACTTTTTGGCGTCAGAATTTAAAAGAAAAATTCCGTTTCTCTATTTCAGAAGCTCTTTCTGTACAGAAAAACAGAAGCAGGAGATACTTCAGGCTTTTGAATTATTTTTCTCTTCTGGCGTCCACAGTATCTACATCCAGTGAGCGGGGACCGTGAGTCGAAAACGACGACGTGGATGCTCAGGCCACAGTTCCCGGCGCGCAGTCGCAGCTGCCCCTCGCTCCCGCCCCCGCCTGGAGTCCGACGTGGAAGTTGCTGGCTGAGTGGGCTTGCGAGGAAACCGCCTCGGAGCTGCAGCCGAAGGCCAAGGAATCACTGAAGATCGGCGAGGGAGGACAGGCGGTTCATCATGGGTGAGGGGTTCGAGAAGGGCACCCAGGCGCGTTCGAGGCGGCCGCGGCCGAGGGCTGGGGTGCAGAGGAGGAGAGGGGCCGGCTGGGGAACCCTAGAGTAGCCAGCTCCTCAGGGGGCGGGTCGCCGAGGACTTAACTTAGCTCGGATCTTCATTTCTAGGGGTGGATCCGGCCTTTCGCGTTCTCCTCCGCCGTCTCTCGTTTCCCCTTCATTCCTGCGGGGTCCGGGGACCAGGACAGCGCGGGTCTGCAGAGCCTGGGTTCGAGTTCTTTCCCCTTATCATGAAGTTTTCTCTCATCCCCAGCTCCACTTGCTGGGCAGAGTTGTTCTTGCGAAGGCTGGCAACGCGTCAGTCGCAGGTTCGCTGAGGTTTCTTGATGAAAGATGAGCTGCGGCCCCAGAGTGGAAGCTTAATTATTCTCTTTACCAGGGGCGCTGGGACGGCGTCAGTTTGAAAAATCCGAGAGCAGGTTTTGCTTATGTTGTTTTATGGCCAGTTTGGCGTTTGTCTGCTCATCTACTGTAGCGTTTCATGCAATAACACGGGTATTTCTAGTCGGTAAATGAAATTTTATTCTCAATTCTTGGCCCGCTGATTGAGGGAACTGCATTCTCACAAGCATCACTAGGGTCCAAATAAGGGTGCACGTTCTTTAACTTGTTTCCCACCCTCCAAATGAAGGTGCAGATTCTTTGGCTTGGTTAAATCCCTCCACAGTTTTCTGGGGAGCATAATTCTTGCTCCCAAGCATCACAGGCGCTGTCCTGTCTTCCATAACCCGCTTCAGTTTTGTTCCGCCTCTCTTCTACCTGTAAATGGTAGAAAGGACTTTGTCAAGTCACACCCATTCTGTTGAACTTTCCCAAGGTTCTCTAGCCCGTGGTGGTGTTCATTTTTCAACTGGCAGCTCTTAGTTATACCATGTCTTTGCTGAATAACAGTGTGGCATCACTTCTGATGTTAACGATTTTTTTGTATCGTTAATGTAACTTGTTTTTAATCTTCTCTAATGGCTCTGGATGGGAAAAGGGCTGTGCTTTTATACTACACAATACTTGGTGTACAGGAAACTTTCTGGGAATATTTTGTGATGCAGTGGGTAGAGCTTTATTATTTTTTAAAATGGGTTTTCTGTCAAAAATAGTTACTGTTTTCAGCTTCTTTCTCAATTTCTTGTACTAGTTACGTTGCTTGGTGGAGAACTCTGAAGTTGGTTACAGTGGTACTGCTGCTGTACAATACTTTTCCTGTGCGAGGATTACATTGTCCCACCGTCTTCCTTACTGGCCCCTTGGTTTTTGGGGGTAGTGAGGGGATCATGCTAAAATATTCCTATTCTGCTGATTAGAAAATGAGATTCCCAAAGACAGCGGCCATATTTCTCTTATTATTTGGTTTATCTTCTGTGCCTGCATGACACAATATTTAGGACATAGTAACATAACTAATTACTTGTTTGATGTTGAATAATATTTTTCATTAGGAGCAAAAATATGCACCTGTGCATCCAGGAAATTATAATATTTAATTTGGTATATAGCTTTCAAAGGACAAGATGAGATGTTTTGTGTACCTAGTTCACAAAATGACATTGTGTATGTTTTTTCTTTTGTTATGTTTTAGGTGGCTTTTTCTCAAGTATATTTTCCAGTCTGTTTGGAACTCGGGAAATGAGGATTTTAATTTTGGGATTAGATGGAGCAGGAAAAACCACAATTTTGTACAGATTACAAGTTGGAGAAGTTGTTACTACTATACCTAGTAAGTGTTGGTATGATGAACTAATTGTAGGGGTTTTCTGGTCTCCATCTAACGTAACTCTATTTCTTTCTTTCTTTTTTTTTTTTGTTTTAATAGAGATCATGTATCACTGTGTTGCTCAAGCTGGTCTTGGACTCTTGGCCTCAAGTGATCCTCCTGCCTTGGCCTCCCAAAGTGCTGGGATTACAGGCATGAGCCACTATGCCAGGCCTGTTTCTGAATAAATTAATTCATATAATAAAGCATTTGATAAAGTTTGTAAACTGCTGGTATGAACAAAACATTGATAACACTTTTTTCATCAACTGAGAGGCAGCTTAGTGTAATTTAAGGACCCTTGTTCTGGTTTACGGCCGGGTTTGGCTGTTTATAGCTGTTTAAATTACTAAATCTTATTGAGAGCCAGTATCTTTACTAATAAAATACGTAAGATAAATACCCACTGGCTTTCAGGGGGAAATAAATGAAGTAGTTAAAAGTACCTTTTAAACCTGTGTAAAGAATTACATAAGTGTTAAGTGATATTACATGTGAAGTGCCTTTTTTTCTGTATGTGTTACTATTTTAATTAAGATTAGTTTATCTAGGTAATTCTATTGATTCTTTTTGAAGATCTGAGTTGTAGAGATTGAGTGTTGAAGTAATTTGGTACCTTAAAAATATCAAGAGAAGGCCGGGCACAGTGGCTCACGCCTGTAATCCCAGCACTTTGGGAGGCTGAGGTGGGTGGATCATCTGAGGTCAAGAGTTCGAGACCAGCCCGACCAACATGGAGAAACCCCATCTCTACTAAAAATACAAAATTAGACAGGCGTGGTGGTGCATGCCTGTAATGCTAGCTACTCGGGAGGCTGAGACAGGAGAATCACTTGAACCCAGGAGGCAGAGGTTGTGGCGAGCTGAGATCGCACCATTGCACTCCAGCCTGGGCAACAAGAGCAAAACTCCGTCTCGAAAATATATATGCATATATATGTATATATTTATTAAGAGAAGAAATACCTCAATTTTAATCAATTATTGCTGTCTTACAAAAATATTCTCCAACAGTCTTAGTTGAGTGTATGAGAATACTGTTGTTACTTATTCTTTTTCATTTGTTGACCTCAATTTACTTGGAGAAGATTAATACATCTAAATTAAATGAAAGAGTTCATACAGTTTGCCCAAGATGATTTAAATTATGCCTCTAACATTACTCTGTCACTCAGGGTATTTCTATATTGTTGCTGTTCAAATTTATGGACTAAAACAAAAGAGGCTAGCCTTTAAGAAAGAAGAGTGTTTTGAACCCTGTAATGTCTGTTATTCCTTTTTGCTATCTTCAGCAAATTTTAGTTCCATTAGTTTTTGCTTCTCAAAACCACCCATCTCTGTCTGGGCATCTCCTGCAGTGCACAGAGCAGCACAGTGGATAGTTTCGAGTTTCAGCGAGTGCTGCTTTACACCACACTGTTTTTTGAGACAGTGTCTTGCTTTTTTGCCCAGGCTGGAGTGCAATGGCGCAATCATAGCTCACTGCAGCCTCTACTTCTACCTCCTGGGCTCAAGCCATCTTCCCACCTCAGCCTCCCAAAATGTTGGGATTACAGGCATGAGCCATTGCACCCAGTCTATGCCATTCTCTTGTCTTGCACGTGTAAACAATGTTTTTTTTTACTATTGGTGAACATTGTGATTACACTCCTACCTAATTCTAAGAGAGACATCGTGAACTTGCATTTTAGTTTTTCACTCAAATTTGTCATAGTATTGTTATTTTTTAATTGTAATAGACATACTTGCCAAATACTCAAAGGTATCACTTCCCACTGCAAACTTAAATATAAAACAAAAGCTAATTGTCCAGTTATAGCCGGAAGTTTTATTTATTTATTTTTTTGAGACAGAGCCTCACTCTGTTGCCCAGGCGGAAGTGCAGTGGCGCCATCTCAGCTCACTGCAACCTGTGCCTCCCATGTTCAAGCGATTCTCATGTGTCAGCTTCCAGAGTAGCTGGGATGACAGGTGTGTACCACCACGCCCGGCTAATTTTTGTATTTTTAGAAGAGATGGGGTTTCAGGTGCTGGCTAGGCTGGTCTCGAACTTCTGACCTCAGGTGATCCGCCCGCCTCGGCCTCCCAAAGTGCTGGGATTACAGGTGTAAGCCACTGCACCCAGCCATGGAAGTTATTTTTTACCTATTTTTCACCTAAGAAGGATAGCAGAGAAAAGGGATGGGGCACCTGCCCTTTGACCATCCAGCCATGACCTGATTACAAGTGAGCTCTTGAGGAAGTCTGCAGATGGGCTGTGAGACTGAAAGCTGCAGCCATGGCTGTGCCCATGCTGAAGTTTAGAACTGAAGTTTAGCTTTTCTTGCTTTTGGTCTGTTTATTTGCTACCAACGAAAATTCTACTTTTTATAGTACATCCACAACTGTACTTTCTAAATACAGCTTTCGAACACTTTTAACTGCTCTATTATGAGGGGAGTTTAATAGGATTTCCATTGAGCTAAAAATTATGTTTTCCTTTTTATTTCTTTTTAAAATTCTTTTTTAAATTTATTTGAGCTAAAATTATACACTTTATTTGCAGAACTGCTGGCTTTTAAAAAATATCCTGAAGATGGTATTGATCTTGCTAATTGATGTTTTGTGCATACATGTGCACGTGTGTGGGGGAGCAGAGCATACTATCTCATCTTAAATGGTATAAAATCTCAACCAATAATGTGATTCAACAATTATCATTTCTTTTTAATTCGAACCCTAAGACAAATTATGTATATATATATTTTAAACTTTAATAACAGCTACCATTAATTGCTGTAACTCAATTAGATAGGCTATTTTGAAGGTGGAATGTATTAGTGTACACATACCGCTGATTTGATTTCTCTTCCAGCCATTGGATTTAATGTAGAGACGGTGACATACAAAAACCTTAAATTCCAAGTCTGGGATTTAGGAGGACAGACAAGTATCAGGTATGGTACAAAGACCAGGTTATTTGGTAGTATTTAACATTTATTGGTTCTTTTAAGGGTTAACATCAGTAAACCAGAATATGTGTTCTATTGTGATTCAAATGGAGCCACCTAGTTTAAAATGAGGTAAAATTTGGAACTATTTCCAATCCATTGAGTTAAAACTTAAGGAGCCCAGTTTTCTAGATATCTGTTTAATGAAACTCTTTTCATGAAAATCTGAAGACCTTATTACTTCAGTTATTCTCAACTAGGAAGGACACTCCATTTAGTTCTTGTCAGTCTCTCCTCTCTGAAACACACTGTTTTAGAATTGATTATACCTTGCAGGCCTACCATTTAGGGCTAATATAAAAATAAATGCCATTGGCTGGGCACAGTGGCTCACGCCTGTAATCCCAGCACTTTGGGAGGCTGAGGCGGGCAGATCACTAGGTCAGGAGCTCAAGACTAGCCTGGCCAACATGGTGAAACCCCATCTCTACTAAAAATACAAAAATTAGCTGGGCATGGTGGTGCGTGCCTGTAATTCCAACTACCTGGGAGACTGAAGTAGGCGAATTGCTTGTACCGGGACCTGGGAGCCAGAGGTTGCAGTGAGCCAAGATTGCGCCACTGCACTCCAGCCTGGGCTACAGAGCGAGACCCTGTCTCAAAAAAATAAATGATAAATAAAAAACAAATGCCTTCTGCAGTTCAGGTATTCTGCTTAGCATTTTGGGCTTGATATGGCAACAGTGAATGTTTGGTGACTGTCAGTAGTTGCTCACGATGGTACCATCTTAAAAGATTAGTAATGCATTCTCCAAACATTCTGACTTCTTATAACTCATTTATTGAATCACGTTTCTTTTTTTTACATCGTGCATTCTCCCAAGCCAGAGTAGGCTCAGAGAGACTCCATTGAATCACTTTTGAGTTTATTTATAATTTTAGCCATTTCTACTGCTTGATGTCAGTGATTAATTTTCATGAAAGTGTCAAATGAAATCAACATTTAATGAAAGTTTATTCCTCTTAAGGGCGTAACCTAACGTTAAATATTTGTTTAAGAAGATGAATGATCATGGCTGGGAAGGTTGTGTCACAACTTTTGCTAATCAGTATATTTAGTGAATTTCATAGAATTATAAAAAAAAACAATTAAGTTTTGTCCATCCTGAGTCTGATTCATTTGAAACTCCCTGGTCCTGTGATTTAATGTTTATCAACATTCCTTTTGACTCGCATCCCACATCTGAGGGATATGGTACATATATCCACCCAGAAACAGTGAAATCATTAAGGTATTGAGCATCTAACAGTGCGTGTGGGACAGAATTGGCAATTGATTGTCCCCCAGTTTCTTCTTTACAAACCAGTACCAACACAAAAGAACAAAAAATAAAAAACAAAAAAAAAAAAAACAAAACAAAGATATCTCTCCCTTTTGAATTTTCTCTAGGCCATACTGGAGATGTTACTATGTCAACACAGACCTGCAGTCCCATTTATGTAGTAGACAGTTGTGACCGAGACCGAATGGCATTTGCCCAAATCGGACAGTAAGTTTGCCATGTTGGAGGTAAGAAAAACTTAACCAACTTTTAAAAAAATGTGGGGAAATCAGCCCCTACATTTTTGGCTATTTCCCCAGTAACACATTATTACATTGAAGAATAATTAAAAAGAATGCAGGGGTTGTTCTCTCCATCCACTTTTAATATGTATTTTCTTTATGCAAATGCTTTTTCTATTTCCCAAAAATACAGCTTTGACGGAAGAGGGTGCGAGACAAAAACAAAAACAAGCCACAAACAAAAAACTAACCCTTGTAACTTCCTCTTCTTTAATGCCAGATTGGCTTGATTTGATTTTCCATGAAGGTCAGAGCTCACTTAATACCAAAAAGCATCCATATCTAAGTCACTTTATTTGATGTGAACTAAAAAAAATTTTTAGCTGTTTCAGAAGGGATTAAAGTTCAGGGAATTATGTAATTTTCTGGTTGGCTGGCAGCAATGCTAGCCCTCCCGAACGTTTATCGTTTTTTAACCCTTCCAAGTGCTGACAGTGCTTTAGCTACACGGACCTTCTTTCTATTCTTTGGAAGCCCCCACGAACTTGCACCACCTGGCTTTAGGGCCTTTTGCACTTTGCTGATCGCTCTGGCCCTGTCTCTCCAGCATCTTTGCGCATGGGTGCCTTCGCCTGACATGTTTCTTCCCACATCCTCTTCCGCCCAGAAAGAAGTCTCATTTACTCCTCTAATCCTTTACCCTTCTTTATTTATACCCAATATTGTTTTTCTTTTTCTTTTCCTTCTTTTTTTTTTTTGTAGAGACGGGGTCTAGACTATGTTTGCCCAGGCTGGTTCCGCCAACTCCTGTCCGCGCGAAATGATCTCTCCTGCCCTTGACCTCCCTAAGTTGTTGGGATTAAAGGTGTTAGGCCATGCACCCCCACTTACTGTTTTTTACATTATTGTTTAAATTTATTTTGTTGGCTGGGCATGGTAGCTCAACGCTGTAATCCCAGCACTTTGGAGCTGAGGGAATAGCAAGCGATTCACAACGGTCATCGAGATCGGAGCAGCCCTGTCCAAACCATGGTGAACCTCATCTCTACTCAAAAATAGCAAGAAAACTTAACCTGGGCACCATGGTGTGTGTGCCTGTTCCAGCTCTTTGACGGCTTGAGGCAGGAGATCGCTTGACCACGGAAGCAGAGGTTGCAGTGGGGCCGGGGTTGTGCCACTGCACCTCAGCCTGGGTGACCAAAAGTGAGACCATCCTCAAATAATTAAAAAAACAAAAATGTATTTTTGCTTATGTAATCTC